GGCAACTGGTCCTGATAAGGGACTCAGGGCACCGTACGACTGCCAGGCCCATCGGCAAGCTCAGATGGGCCGTCTCTGCCTCTGCCCCAGGTGCAGGCAGGGACGCAAGACCAGACCCGGTCCGTACACTCTGCCCTTAACATCCCCGCGCTGTCGGCGGAGGCCGAGGACCTTCCCGGGCAAGGGCCGGGTCCTCCTCCCACCTCCTCGCCGCCGCTCCTGCGGCAGGCCTCGCGCAGCCTTCTCCCATTGGCTCAGACCTCCGCAGATCCGACCAATGAGCAGGCTGGGTTCTGGCACGGGGCGGCCCCCCGCGCGCCGGCGCTAACACCCCTAGGGCCAACGCTGGGTAGGCAGGACCTGGTCCTTCTTTAATCTTAAAGGGCCGGCTGCTGAGACCCGGCCTCTGGAGGAGATGCTGCCGACGGGGAGGGGTGTGTGGGACCTCGAGCCCCGAGAGCTCGGGACCTCTCCTCCAAGAGAGTGGAGCCGGCGCCGGCTGCGCGTAGCCGCCGAGAGGGAGCTTATGTTGGCAAGACTCTTGGAAAAAGTCTTTTAACAAGGAGGGAAACAAATCATAATATTTCCTTCTCTGGCTTCCCACCCTGGTTGCTTGGAAAAGCACCCCCATAAGAACGCTCACCCCCAGTAGAACTGTGTCCCCCTCAGAACGTTGACTCCTGCAGTCAGTAGGATCCTGCCTCCCACCCCTGTCGTGTCCATCAGGGAGTCTGAAACCTGAACTTTCTGTGTGTGAACTGGAGGACGAGCTGGTTGTGGGTTGGCGGGCGGGGGGGTAGGGAGGCGAGATAAGGAGTCTTGCTGGAGCTTAGGAGACCTGAGATCTCCAGAAGGGGCTGTCTGGGGTTGGGGGGGCGGGGAAGGTGGTTACAGAGGAAGAGGTGAGGTCAGGAAGAAGTTGCTCCCCTATTCCTGTGCAGCCCTAGAGCTGTTGAGAACCCCTCCTTCAACATTACCGCCTCACTATGTGACCTTGAGAGGTCCCTGTGTGGACCTCAGCTTCCTCATTAGCAAGTGGGGAGAGGGGGCGTGGACCATGGGTTTACTCAGGTCCCTTGTGCCTCTAAATTGATGGTATAAGCCATAACTGGCTGAGAGGCCAGGCATCAGATAGAAATAGAACGAAATACGAAAAATCTCTCTAAAGGGAGGCCTTCTGGCATCCTCCCAAGAGGAGAAGGTGGGCCTGGGGGTGATGGGACATGCCCACCGTCGCCACCGGAGGTCCACCCGGCACCAGGGAAGTCCTGAGCACGGAGGCCCTGGTCCTCTGAGTGTCCCCCGCCCCCTCCCCTGCCTGACCCTTGGCCGCCCTCCCCTTCCACTTGGCTCCCACCCTCTGGAAGCTCTGTCCTGCTGGGCCTTGGCTGCTGTCTCCAGCAGGTGGGGTGGGGGCTGCTCACGAAGTGGGGCCCACTGACCTCCCTCAGCAGGCTCCCTATGGGCACCCCATAAGGGGTCTCTGAGAAGAACTGGCTTATCTGCATGGAGCTGAATCCTTGAGGGACCCTGGCCCAGACTGGAGGAAGCCTCTCTCCTCTCCCAGGCCCCGGAAAAGGGCTTGGCAAACCCTTATCGCCTGAGACGCAGCTGCTGGAGAAATACCTTAGCAGCTGACTCACTGGGCTCCTCACAGCCCTCTCCCACTGGGCCCCACACCAGGCCTTTGAGAGACCCCGAGAGAAAGAGAAGGAAAGAGAGAGAGAGGGCGCCCCCAGCTGGGCTGGCCCAGACCCCACCGAAGGTGCGACCAGCACAGTCCAGCCTGTGACTGACCGTTTGGCTGGGGGGCATTGAGCCCCGTGGATGGCTTTGGCTGGGATCGCTATTATTCTTAGAGACTTGTTCAGCCTCTGTACTGCCTCACCCCAGGCATTGATGGATCACTGACATACTGATGGCATTACTCTCTGGGGTATAAGGCCCTGTCCCTCCACCAACAGTTGTTGAGTGTCTGTCCTGGGCCAGGGACTGGGACCCAGCAGGTGAACAAGTGCAGACCCTAGCTCTGGGAGTTCACAGTCCAACAGGTGAGCAATTCCTGACCAGGGGAATTCCGCTGCCCCTGGGGAAGGACTGGGTGGTGGCGGGTTGTGGACCCTTCACTGCTCTCTTTGGCTCCCTGGGCCTTGGTTTCCCTATCTGCCAAATGTAGAAATGCAACTTCCTTGTCTCTTTGGGTATTTGTGAGGATTAAATAAGACGGTGCCTATGAAAGTGCTTTAGAAAGTTAAAATCACAAGACAAATGTAGGCTAGTGATGATAAGTTCTGACCAGCTGGGGAGAGAGGAGAGTGCTTAAGTCAATGGATTTCTGAACTCATTTTATCCTGGATTCTCTGATTTGGGGGGAGGACCAAACCACTTCCCTGCATTGGCTCCAGGCTCAGTTCACCTCAGGCCCAGGGTTAGGCCTTTCATAAAACAGCAATTATTGAGCACCCACTGCATACTAGGCCCTGTTCTCAGTGTTATAGGTATTTACTATGCAGATGTATTTGTATGTTATATGGATACATGTGTTTCATGTATTTCCTCACTTTATCCTCATAATCCCATGAGGGTGGCATTAAGCACCTAGTGCATATTTGATCCTCATAACAACACTATGAGGTTGGAACTATTATTTCCCCCATTACAGATGAGGAAACTGAGGCCTAGAAAAGTGAATTAATTTAGCAAGGCGTGAGCTAAGAGTCAAAAGTCTTGACCCCCTGAATCTTATTCTCACACCAAGGGCTTTTCTGCTCACCCTTTCCAGACTAGGACAAGCGCCAATTATTCCAGGCCAGGAAGCCAACAACTCCAAAAGTCAGTTCTTACCTCTTCACCAGCTGGGACCCCCAGGGTCAGAAGCAAAACCCCAGCAAATTCATTCCGTCAGTGAAAAACGAATGAACAGGAGGCTTCCCTCTGGTTAAGACTCCGTGCTGCCACTGCAGGTGGGGGCTGGGGGTGGGTTCGATCCCTGACTGGGGATCTAAGATCCAACGTGCAGCCCAGAGCAGCCAAAAAAAAAAAAAAAAAGTGAAGAACACTAACATTTCCTTACACATTTATAATTCTTTAGAGAGAAAAAACAAGAACCTCCTATGTACCAGCTGCTGCTGGATGCTTTATTAATAAGAGGTTTGTTGAGTAATTACTATGTACCAGGAACTATTCTAAGTGCTTTACATATATTAACTTGTTTAATCTTCACAATAACCCTAGCAGATAAGAACTGTTATCATCCCCACTGTACAAAGGAGGAAATGAAGCATAGAAATACTGATCAACTTTTCTAGGATCACGGAGACCAATATTTTCCAGACTATTTTGTTTCTGAGAAATATATTTCACATCCTTCTCATGAACATACACACACACATAACTGAGATAAAAATTTACCACATATTTAACTTCCCCATGCTCAGCACACCCTGATATTTCTCTAATCTATTTTGTTCTGTTTTCTTTTTCCTTAAATTCTGGTCATGACCTGCTTCACAGCCCACTACTGAGTCACCCCCTGCAGTCTGAATGGCACTGAGTCATAGCGAGGAGCATCAGGGCCCAGATTCAAACCAAGCGATACGGCTCTGGAGCCTGATCTCTTGACATAAAGAATGTCTGGGAAAACGGAAACACTGGAGGCATGAGGATAAGTGAGGACCGTGCCGATGAGGGGAGCAGCTGTTCACTCAGTCGTGTCCGACTCTTTGTGATCCCGTGGACTGAAGCTCACCAGGCTCCTCTGTCCTCCACTATATGCCGGAGTTTGCGCAAACTCATATCCATTAAGGGGGAGCAGAGTCCTCGATAATCTCACCACCTTGCATTCCAGCAAAAGAGAATAGAATACAAAAGTCACTGATAACGCCTTTGGAATGCAAACTTGCTCGCGGAGATTGAGTTATTCTTTAGTCCTTAGTTCCTTGGTCCTCTTGTGATGGAAGTAGGGTGGGCTGAGAAGCAGGCTTGGGCAATCTAAGTGATTTGACCAAAGTCATAGGGCCAGAATTATAGCCGTGTGTCCTATCACTTGGATTCTTTCACACCATCCAGAGCACAGCCTTGAGGATACTGACTTAGAGGTTGGAGACATCAGTGGAGGTGGTGGTGACGGTAATGTGCTTATGGGGTGAGAGTAGTGATAGAAAGAATGATAGTTGGGGGACTTACCTGGTAGTCAAGTGGCTAAGATTACCCCAAGTTCCCAATGCAGGGGGCCGGGTTTGATCCCTGGTCAGGGAACTAGATCCCACATGCCGCAACTGTGGGATCCTGGCCACGTGGGTTCAAGTCCCAATCTGAGGTACACGCTTTCAGTGGGAAGAGTGATGGGAAGGTTGCAGGTGTTGACTAAAAAAGATGCACAACAGGAGAGTTGGGAGTTAAGTTTTATTTGGGGGCAAAATGAGGACTGTAACCCAGGAGACAGCGCCTCAGACAGTTCTGAGAAACTGCTCCAAAGAGGTTGTGGGGGAAGATCAATGCATATGATTCTGGTGAAGGGGGCATTCCATGCAATTCAGCACTTGACTTACAAAAGATGTTCTGCTAATTATGAGGAGCTGATGTCACCAATGAGGAGATTTAGTGCTTGTCTAGATATGAGGAGATGCAAGGATTGGGATCATGAAATCAGTTCCTGAAAATATCCAGCTCTCTAAAGACCTGTGTCACTCATTTTTCTGGAGCACAAAGTGCCTGATTCTTTTCCCTGGACTCCCGTCAGGGCACGTCAGAGGTCAACAGCTGCAGTAGCATGGGCTTCAGTCTCCCACAGATGGTGGTTTAGTTGCTTAGTCGTGTCCAACTCTTGGCGACCCTATGGCCTGCAGCCCGCCAAGCTCCTCTGCCCATGGGATTTTCCAAGCAAGGATCCTGGAGTGGGTGGCCAGATGGCAAATAGCCTTGGCAAGTGCCCGTCTGGCGTTGACACAGGGACCACGGTGGATAAGCTGACCCCCTCCTCCCCTCTCCTCCTCCCCTAGCACTTCCCCGAGCACCTGGACCACTTTGCCGAGAACATGGAGGACTTCTCCAACGACCTGTTCAGCAGTTTCTTTGATGACCCTGTGCTGGACGAGAAGAGCCCTCTCCTGGACATGGAACTGGACTCCCCCACGCCAGGCATCCAGGCCGAGCACAGCTACTCTCTGAGTGGTGACTCAGCGCCTCAGAGCCCCGCCATGCCCATCAAGACAGAAGACACCACCCAAGGTAAGGGGTGGCAGGGCCCAGGACCCCAGGCCCAGAGAAGCCGCTCACAGCCACCTCTCGAGGGGGACCATCCTCTGCGTTTCGGCTCTTCCTCAAGCCCAGCCCAGAAGGGCCCTTGTAAAGAGGCTCTTCCACTGACTTGATGTGCAAAGGGGTGGATCCCAGACCAGCAGCAATACCTGGGAACTCGTTGGAAAGGCAGGTTCTTGGGTCCCACCCAGACCTGCCAGATCAGAAACCCTGTGGGGAGGATCCAGCCTTCCAGGTGACTCCGATTGATGCTTAGGTCCGAGAACCAGTCTTAGATGAAACAGCTGAGGGGTTTGGGTGGGGAGGATTAAACAGTAAGTGTGGACAAGTTAAAACTCTAGAACCTTACCGCCTCCTCACGCTGTGAGGTCCTCTGAGACATTACCTGGGAGAGACATCTGCACCCTACTTTTATTCCCGAAGGCGGGATTCCCTAAAGCTCTCCTCTGCCCACCTCCTCCCCTTTTATGCAAAGGACCCTTTGAGTCTTTCCTCTCAGGTGATCAACATTGGAGAATACCAGCCTGTACCCTCCCTAGAAAGTCTCTTTGGGCATATCCTCAGATACAGGTGGTGCTGGCTCTGTCCTGTTTGGCTGGGTAATCCTGGACTCAGCCTTTATAAGCCCCAGTTTCTTCATCTCAAATGGGAGTAACAGTAAACAGTTTTGATAGCACTGTCCAGTTTACAGAGTACCTTCATGTTAATTATCTCGTTTATTTCTCACAACTCACAGGTGAGGTCAGAGTCACTTTTATCATACTCCCCATTTGTCTGGTAAGGGAAATGAGACTTCAGGGAAGCTGAGTTGTTTTGGCCACACACATAGTAAAATGCAGACAGGGACCTGGGAGCAAGCAGGCCCCTGGTTCTAAACCTCATACCCTTGCCACCACCACACTTGCCAGCCTTAACGGGCAGTAAGGGTACTGGCTTTGGTGTGCATCCCGGTGCCTCCAGAAGCTGCTGTGCAACCTTGAACGAGTTGCTTAACCTCTCTGAACCTCAATTATCAAACGAAGACATAAATAGCTTGAGAATTCTGGCTACTATATACATATGTGCAAGTGAAAGTGACAGTCACTCAGCCATGTTCGAGACTTTGTGGACTGTGGCCCGCCAGGCTCCTCTGTCCATGGCATTCTCCAGGCAAGAATACCGGAGTGGGTTGCCATTCCCTTCTCCTGGAGATCTTCCGGACCCAGAGATCGAGCCCAGGTCTCCCGCGTTGCAGGTGAATTCTTTACTGTCTGAGCCACTAGAGAAGTCCCAATATAAATATATTTATGTGTGTCTGTCTATATATATTTGTTGTTATTCAGTCGCTAAGTGTGTCTGACTCTTTGCGACCCCATGGACTGCAGCACGCCAGGCTTCCCTGTCCTGCACCATCTCCATATGTATAGTTTGCAGCTATTTCATTGTGTATATAAGGTCCTGTTAAGACGATAGTGGCTAGGACCATGAATAGGGTTTTTGTTCCTCCTTCTCTTCAGAGGACAATGGTCTTGAGTGGAGTCTTTTAATTTTCTCATCTATTAAGTGAACAGATGGCCCCCAGGGCTGATGGTAGGAATACACAAATTCACATGCATCAAGAGCTTAGAATTGGTCTCAGTGCAAGATGTGTGAGCTGCTTCTGAGGGTCTTTGAGATTCCCCATGGGCAGAGACAAGCCCTTATACCCCACCCCCATCCACCCGCCCGCATCCACCTACTGAGGGCTGGGACACCTACTGGGGCTTTAAGAGGCTCCAGGGCTGGTAGCTGTGGAGGTTCCAGCAGTTTCCCTACATGCCCTGACCTCAGCCCTGCCCTCTGGAGGTCACCTCAATGGGGCCGCGGGCCCCAGCCTGGGGAAGGGCAGCGGGTGGGGTGGACCGCCTCCCAGCCCGGCAACTCCTGGCCACCCCAAGTCTATTTTTAGAGCAATTTGTCTGTGGGTCCTTTGCAGGGGGCGGCTTCCCGGAGGCCGGCAAGCTGGCCCTGTAATTTGGGAAGATTGTGGGTGTTCCTGGAGCCCAGGGGCGGGGGCCCTCAGGCTCCCTGTGGGGTGGGGCCTGGCCTCAGAGGTGGGATCAGGCAGCAGCTGACCCCTCTCCCCACCCATAATGAGCCTCAGAGCCTCCAGTCCCTCTGGCCCCTCCGTGCCGGCTCCGGGCCAGGTGCTGGGGCCACCAGGAGCAGAGCTGACTTGGAGAGGAGGACTGTAGGCAACCATCAGGAAAGGGGGGGGATGCCCAGCAGCCCTGTGGCCCAGATAAGGCCAGGAGGCCCACGAGGTGGGCGGGAGGTGGACACTGCCCCGAGAAACCTGGGCATCACCCATCCTCCCATCCAGGCACCAGACAGTGCCGTGGATTCTTCCTTCTTATCTTGTCTCCAGGATGTTCTTCACCCCATTGCCACTGCCTTAGCATGTGCCACCTTTCCTCTCTCCGGAAACAGCCTCCAGAAGGTCTCACCGCCTCTTATCTCGCCTGCAGCCAGTCCAGTCTGCACACAGAGGCAGAGGGATCTTTTTTAACTTCACAAACCCGAGCGTGCTTAAAGCCCTTCAGTGTCTCCTCGTTACCCTTAGGACAAAGTCACAGCTCTGAGTCCAGCCTCCAGGGCCGACCCGTCCCTGCTGGCCTCCCCCTTCCCTTTGCGTTCTAACCGTGCTAAACTGCTCGTGACTTTCTCCAGACCCCCAGCACCTAGCACGGCGCTCATTAGATGTTTGCTGAGTAATCGTAATGTAATCGTATTCACAATAGCTGACATTTGTTGAACATTTACTTCTTGACCAGTACTTTTACAGATGAGGAAGCTAAGGCTCAGAGAGGTTACGCACCTTGTCTCAGGTCACACAGCCAGGCAGGAGGGGTCTGTTGTCCAAGCCCACTCTGAAAATAAACTGCTGAATGAAGACGATGCCTCCATCTGTCTGGCCCCAGCCCCCTCTGCCCTCCCACCTCACCAGCACCGCGCCCCCGCCCCTCTCCTCCGGCTTCCCGTGTACCCTGACATCTCTCCACGGCCGCGCAGCCCAGGGGCCGGGGCGGGGCTGAGCGCCTGCTCTGGGAGCCCCCTGAGCCTGCGTCCCGCCCCCTTCCCTAGATGTGGACCACGGAGCGTGGGTGCTGGGACACAAACTGTGCTCCGTCATGGTGAAGCAGGAGCAGAGCCCGGAGCTGCCCGTGGACCCGCTGGCCGCCTCCTCGGCCATGGCCGCCGCCGCCATGGCCACCACCCCGCTGCTGGGACTCAGCCCCCTGACCAGGCTGCCCGTCCCCCACCAGGTGAGCCTGGGGCCAGTTTACAGGGGCCGAGGGCGGGTGGAAGGGGGATGGATCTCTGTAGGAAGGGCCATCCAAAACCCTGGCACCCCAGGACGTTGAACAGGGAGCAGCGTGGCCCTCAGGAGCCTCCAGACTCTGTCTCTGTCACCACCTTGGGCCACCCTTTCACCACCAAGACCAGACTCAGACCACAGGGGCCCTCACTGTGTGCGGAAGAAGATGAAGGGGTCCAGGCAGGGCTGGGCATCAGGGACCCGGTCCAGGGTCTCAGGGTAGGAAACAGCCCAGGCCACTTAATTTTCTCAGTGTCTGGATTTTTAAAAATGAAGAAACACCTAAATGGAAATATAAAAATTATACCCTATTTCCATTGTTTATATTCATGAGATGAATATGTTTAACCTACGCTCGCAGGCAGGCCCTCCCCCCGTGAATGTCTAGATACCATCGCTCAGCTATAGTACCAAAGTGGACATCTGAAGACCCTTCTGGGGACGTGAAGCCCAGACACCCGGCGCCCGGGAGAGGCCCTGCCTGGTCCCAGCTCTGGCCTCAGCTGTGTTCTGGGCGCGTTGCCTTCCTTCTTCATTCCTCAGCTTCCTTCTCGGTAGAATGGGAGCGTAAACTACACCTAAGGGGCTCCTACTCTTGCATCTAAAACACAAGTTGTTGTTTAGTCGCTACGTTGTGTCCGGCTCTTTGCGACCCCAGGGACTGTAGCCCACCAGGCTCCTCTGTCCACGGGATTTCCCAGGCAAGACTACTGGGGTGGGTTGTCATTTCTTTCTCCGGGGGATCTTCCCGACCCAGGGATGCGAAGCCGCATCCCCCACATTGGCAGGAGCATCCTTTACCACTGAGTCACCGGGATGCCCTTGGAATCCCTTGAGTCGGGGTTTGGCTGGCACTGCCCCCTGCTGGCCACACGGCTCAACTGCTCAAAACGCACGTGGCCCTAGGGCTTCCCAGGTGGTACCCTTGGTAAAGAAGCTGCCGGACAGTGCCAGAGAAGTAAGAGATATGAGTTTGATCCCTGAGTCGGGAAGATCCACCGGAGGAGGAAATGGCAACCCACTCCACTTCAGTATTTTTGCCTGGAGAATCCCATGGACGAGAGATCCTGGGGTCGCAAAGAGTCAGACATGACTGAAGTGAATTAGCACGCACGCAGAGGCAAGAAAGGGCATTCCCTCCTCCTCCACCGGGGACTGGGGGGTTCAGGGCTGGCTGCAGACAGGGAGGATCTTTGGGGACCATCTCCAGGGCTGGCTCTGCGACTCCTGAGACCTCCCCAGGGGAGGAAGGGAAGACAGGATGGCCGTGGAGACAAGGTCATGGAAGTCAGGCGCTGGCCTCAGGGGAGGGAACTGAGAGGTTAAGCAGCTTGCCCCACGTTGCACAGTCGGACGAAATGGAGCTGCATTCCAGACTCAGCCATCAGACCCCGAAGCCCACCTTTCTCACTCTAGTGAGGTCACGACCCCCTAGCAGAAGGTTTGGGAACCAGGGGTTGAATGGCGAGAATGAGCCTGTGACCCACTGAAGTGGAATCACCCTATTGCGCCTCAGTCCTTTCATCTGTCACTTGAGGGCTCAGCTGGGATGTAGACCAGGGAATATCCAAGGTCCCAGCCAGCCTCACCCTCCCTTGATTCCGATTCATCTACTGAAATTCAGGATTCTGGGTCCCACCCATGATATCATGACCTCTCTCTGCTGGCTTTGGACCTGGAGGGGAGAGATGGGCCTGAAATCCAGCACCCAACACAGTGTCTTCTCAAAGAGAACACCCCTTATGTGCGTGTTGGTACTCCTGCATAGGAAGCCATGCATGCTGATGTCCTTTCTGAAACAGCAGGCTGGAATGGTATAAAGAAATAGGAATGCGTGTTTGTTTAAAGCATTCATCTAATTCTACCTTGCTTAAAACCCATTGTGCGTGCATGCTAAGTCACTTCAGTCATGTCTGACTCGTTGCAACCCCATGGACTGTAGCCCACCAGGCTCCTCTGTCCATGGGATTCTCCAGGCAAGAATACTGCAGTGGATTGCCATGCCCTCCTCCAGGGGATCTTCCCCACCCAGGGTTAGAACCCACGTCTCTTATGTCTCCTGCACTGGCAAGTGGTTGCTTTATTACTAGCAATACCTGGGAAGCCGCTGACACCCATTAGGGGTCCTCCTTGTTTCAGACTTCTTTCTCTGGCTTCTCCTCCTCCCACCACGTCCTCTCCCTGGATCTTCTGGTCTTGTGTCTGACCACTCCGCCTCTGACATAGAACCTACCCTCTGGACACCCTCTTGTCCTCGCCATTTCCGGATCTAGCTGGGCTCTGTCTGGGCACTGTGCTTTTGCAGATGCTTTTTCCTCTACGTGGAGTGCCTTTCCCCTCGCCCACGGCCTGCCCCACCCTGTATCTGGAATACTGCTGTTTATACTTCAGGACTCAGACTTCAGCTGCTCAGGACGCTCGGGGACCTTTCTCTAATGCCTCCTTCATCGTGCTGTGGTTACTGTTCAGTGAACAGCCACAATCTGCCAGACGTGACATTATGTGGGTCTCCTGGCAACCCACATACCCAGACTGCATGGCGTTCACCGCCGGTGTGGGGTCACCCTCCTCCAAAAAAGACGGCCCTGGCCTCAGAGGCCACAGGAAGCCCCTCTTCCCTGCACTCAGGAGCTACACGATGCCCCTTGGCCACCGCTGTCTTCCCTTAGGCCTGATTTGCCTTCTGTAAGCACAGAAACTTGTCTCTGCTCCCTCTGGGATATGCCTGGAACCCTGAGCCCAGCTACTTTCTTAATGCTATAGGGCAGAACCCCCCAGGCCCAGGGAGGGAGGGAGGTTGGAGGGCCTGGTGGGGACAGGCCCCCGGAGCAGCTGATGGAGCAGGCCCTGCCTCTTCCTCAGGCCCCAGGAGAGATGACTCAGCTGCCAGTGATCAAAGCCGAGCCCCAGGAGGTGAACCAGTTCCTCAAAGGGACACCAGGTGAGTGTGTCTGGAGAGGGGCTCTTCATCGCCAGTCCTGGACAGACCGCATTCCTTACCCCTTGGCTCAGCCCACCTGTCTCCCTCGATACGTCCGTTTTCTCCCCGTAATAGTCTCTCCTCCCTTCTGTACCCGTTCCCCATCCCTCCGGTCCCCTTCTTACTCACTCAACAACTGTCGTCACTATTATCACCACCTTCTCACTCTGTTTGCTACTTTCCCCTCCCATGATTCACTAACTGAAGTCCTCTCTGTAGCCATCAGCTGGTCCATCCATTCACCCATTTACTCATTTACCCGTCCATCTGTCCATCCTTGCAGCTATCCATTCATCCACCCATCCAACAAGAGTACACTGGGCATCTCCTAGTTCCAGGAGCTGGGGACGCAGAGAGAGAAAACAGTCGCTGTATCCGAGGAGCTGACACTGTAGCGAGGGTCCCAGACAAACCACCAATGACACAGTTGTGTTACGGGTTAAAGGTGACAGATCCCAGGAAACACCTCCCCAGACCTGACAGGAGAGGAGAGATCAGAGGGAGCTTCTTGGATTGAGCAGGAGAAAGGGCTAACTTAATCTTTCCAATCCCACCTCATTCATTCATCCAACACTGATCAAGCAGCACCTGTGTATCAGGCCCTGACTAAGCACCACAAGGTTTAGGAAGATGAATAAGGCCCAAGTTTCACCCTCAAGTTACTCATAGCTTCTGAGAGAAGATGGAATTAACCAGAGGTAGAAAGGGACCAGTGTGAAAACACCTTACATTGTAGAGTGCCCTTCATAAAGCAGGGTCCCATCCCTTAGCCCATTGCATCCTCCCAGCTCCATACAGGGAGTCCTTTCACCCCCCCACCCCCACCCCATTCAACAGGAAAGTGAGGCTGGGAGATGTTAAGTAAACATGAATATAGGTTGCATAGTTGTGGGGTACAACAGTCAGGACTTGAACTCAGGTCCGACTCCAAGTTCAGTGGTCCTTACAGTATGGCATCCACGAGAGGCAAATAAGAGCCAAAGAAGAGAGAGGGGACCCCTGTAGGAGGCAGCGGTGGGCAGAGCCCGGAAGGACGCAGCAGTTCCTCCTCCCAGTGTCAGCCCAGCTCTGCAGTGCAGTGAGCGCCAGATTCCCGCCTGTGCATGCACGCGCGCTCAGCCATGTCCGACTCTGTGCGACCCCAGGGACTCCAGCCTTCCAGGCTCTTGGTCCTCTTGGCTTGGCTCAGGCCTCTTCCTGATGCTGCGGCCAAGAGAGGAGGCATGAAGGGCGTGCAGGGGAGAGCAGTGCTCTAGCAGGTCTGCTGAAAGTCCAGTGTCTGCTGCCCTGTTACCCTGAGGTTGGAAATGGACACCCTGGTGTTTTGAAATGGAAAGAAAGGGACAGAGGCTGTCGCTTGCCCTGCCTGATCCCCATGGGTCTCGCTGTGGGCAGACTCCAGTCATCTCCTGGGGTTGCCAAGTTGGAGGCTCACAGACCCTGAGCCCTTTGAAGTGAGGGTTTAGTCACTAAGCCGTGTCCGACTCTTGCAACCCCATGGACTGTAGCCCGCCAGGCTCCTCTGTCCATGGGGTTTCCCAGGCGAGAACAGTGGAGTGGGCTGCCATTTCCTTCTCCAGGGGATCTTCCCGACCCAGGGATCAAACCTGGGTCTCCTGCATCGCTGGCAATCTCCTGCATTGCAGGTGGAGTCTTTACCGACTGAGCCGCCAGGGAAAGGAGACCTGAGAATCCAGCCATCGTGTTATCCCTGCCAAGTGTTAGCGTTAGTCGCTTAGTCATGTCCAACTCTGCGACCCCATCCATGGACTACACCAGGCTCCTCTGTCCGTGGAATTCTCCAGTAAAGAACACTGGAGTGCATAGCCATGCCCTTCTCCAGGGGATCTTCCCGACCCAAGGCTGGAACCTAGGTCTCCTGCATTGTAGGGGGATTCATTATTGTCTTTGCCACCAGGGAATCCCCACCAAGAACCAGGTTTGAAGGAGCTGGGCTCAGTGGAGTCAGGGATGGTGTGGCCCCCAGAAATTGTCTTCTGGGGTGTCAACTCTACTTTCTGACACGCTAGGGTCAGGGGGGTGCTCCTGACATTATAGGGGTCAAGGCCCGAGCAGTCTGCCCACATGCCTTCGGGAGTGGCTTAGGCCTGCACTATGCTGAACTCTGTACCCCGGCTGACCTGGCTTCTCCTGCTCCCCGCAGAGGACCTGGTGCAGATGCCTCCGACGCCCCCCAGCAGCCACGGCAGCGACAGCGACGGCTCCCAGAGTCCCCGCTCTCTGCCCCCCTCCAGCCCTATCCGGCCCATGGCCCGCTCCTCCACGGCCATCTCCACCTCTCCGCTCCTCACCGCCCCTCACGTAAGCAGCTGGGGCCAGACTGACCCCAGAGTCGAGGAATCCAGTGTCTGGGGGGAGCCCTAAGCCTGATCCCGACCCCCATCAGAACGCAGGAGGTGCCCGCCCCGCAGATGGGAGTGAAGATCTTTTAATCGTGCTTGGGGATGAATAGGAAATGGGGAGAGAGTCCAGGAGGCCTGCTGAACCTGCTGGCGGCAGAGCTAGGTCTAGAACTTGACATTCCTGACCTCCAGGGGGACGGCCCAGGCTGCCTCCAAGGAGCACTGTTTGAAGAGCAAAGTTCAGGAGGCCCAGAAGCCCTGGGACAGGTGGGGGACACCTCAGGTCTAGAGGTGGTAGGTGTCCGAAGTGAGTGCTGTTCAGGGGGCCCTGGACAAGTAAGCACTGAGGCTGTGGATTCTGCGATGGGATCTAGGGACCAGCCCTTCCCAACAATATATTGAGGGCCTAACGTGCCAGGCTGCCAGCAATATCCTCAGCACTTGTGACATGTTACTAGATTTAGTTCAGATCCGCCCCTCTTGCAGATGAGGAAACTGAGGTTCAGTGAGCTGGGTGCCTTGCCCAGGTCTTGCCGAGGGTAAATGGCCAAGCTCGGATTTGAATGCAGGGCTGTCTGGTTGCTAACTAGTATGTCCCCCTTGCTGCAGAAATTACAGGGGACGTCGGGGCCGCTGCTCCTGACGGAGGAGGAGAAGCGCACCCTGGTTGCTGAGGGCTACCCCATCCCCACCAAACTGCCCCTCACCAAAGCCGAGGAGAAGGCCTTGAAGAGGGTCCGGAGGAAAATCAAGAACAAGGTAAAGCAAGAGGCAGACCCTGGCCCTGCCCTGGCGCTTCCGTGGGGGCGGTGGGGGGCCTCTGCTCCCTGGCCGTGCCAGTCCTGAAAATGGGGAGCCCAGGAAGTGGATGCCTGGCCTGGTAACCCTGTGAGGGACAGGGAAGCCTGGCCTACTGCGGTCCACGGGGTCACGGAGAGCCGGACGCAGCTCAGTGATTGAACAATAACAACTCCCGCTGGGGGCTTCCCCCTCTAGATCTCGGCCCAGGAGAGCCGCCGTAAGAAGAAGGAGTACGTGGAGTGTCTAGAAAAGAAGTAAGAGGCCTGGGGCGGGTGGACAGCCCCGGTGGCCTGGGCTCCGCTCCCCAACCTGGCTTCCTCTCCCACCCTCTCGGGGGCTGGGTGGGGGGCATGGGGAGGAGGATGCTGGTGGGCAGGGCAAAGCGGGCAGCAGAGAGACTTCCCTGGTGGCCCAGTGGTTACGACTCTGCTCCCAGTGCAGGGGGCACAGGTTCAAATCCTGGTCGGGGACTGAGATTCTGCGTGCCACACACCATGTGACCCCAAAATGGGGGTGGGGGGGAGTCAGGTCTGGGGGCTGCCGCTGAGCCTGTGCCTGCTTGGCCCCCACAGGGTGGAGACATTTACATCTGAGAACAATGAACTGTGGAAGAAGGTGGAAACCCTGGAGAATGCCAACAGGTGGGTGGTGCCACGTGCGTTCCCCTCTGGCCCCCTGCCCTCTGCCGCCAGTGGCTGGCTCTGGCATAGCTCTGGGAGGCAGGAGGGAGGACGGGCCACTGAGTTGAGGGTGATGCAAATCCCAGATACAGGGAGCCTGCGGCCTGGGGCCCTCAGTTTCCCATCCTCCTTTATCCATTCAGAACTCTAGATACCAGACGGGGCTGGCGAGATGCTTAAATGAGGTAAGCCAGCAATAGCAGCAGCCCCTGGGCATTTGTTGAAGTGCTTTGTGCTCAGGCCTCGTGCCAGCCCTGCTGAATCTGGGGAAGGTTCCACAGCCCATTTGTTAACAAGCCCTCAGGTTAATTCTGAGGCACCCTGAAGTTAGAGCCTTCGTGTACATGTTTACGACTCGAAGTGAGTTTCTCAGCCCAGCACGTCAACATCAGCTAGGGGCTTGCAGAAGTGTAGAATCTCTGGCCTCTCCCCACACTTAACTTGAATCAGAATCTGCATTTCAGCAACACACTTAAGCGATTCACGCTCACGACTAAGTTTGAGAAACAGTCTGGAGCCCACACAGGGCCTGGCATGCGGTGGCCACGGAAAGTCACAACTCCGGGGGCTGTTTTTGTGATCTTGGGAAAACTGTAACACGTCTCTGGGCCCCAGTTTCTCTGTCTGCATGGAGACGATGGAAGCAGTATCTCCCCGGATTCATGTGACGATGCCATGAGACCTAGCAAGTATAGGGCCTGCACTCTCCTTGGCATTTGAGAATGCTTCCTTCGTGTTAACTTTTCTTCTCTTTTTCTGGCTGTTATTCTAAATTCTTGTTAGTGACCAGTCATGAGCCCACAGTAGGTCTTTAATAATTGTTCGCTGGGAGTAATTAAAACGGCAGCCAGCAGCTGGTAGGGAGCAGGTGCTCAACAGAAGGCTTTTTCCTTCTTTCCTTCCTTCTCCCCCAGCTTCTCCAGCGGGATCCAGCCACTCCCCTGACTGACCTGGAGAATGCCCCCCTGACTCAGGGAAGAGGGGTGGGAGCCCTCGCCCTTCACCCCCTTCCTCTGGCCCAGATTCCTCTCTGGTCCTAAATAGGGCCAGGCCCTTGGAGCTATTTCGCCACCTGCTGTACATTCTGGGAACTGCAACCCCTTGGACCGGCTGGGCGGGAGGGAAGAGGTGATTCAACATTTGTTCGCCGAGGGTGGGCTGATTCCTTGCTGGGGAGGACCCAGTCCCTGCCCTCAGGGAGCCCCCACAGTTAGAGAAAGAGACTGACGTCGATGTTCAGCTGCTCAGCCGTGTTCAGACACGTTAGATTTCCTCTCTTTGCGACGCCGTGGAATGACATACAAATTTGTAAATAAACGAAGTGTTACAGGTGCTGTGATAAAAGCAAAAGCAGAGACAAAAAATTAACAAAAATGGTAGCAACCGTTCCCCGCACGCTCACTCCTCACCATGTACCAGGCCGGTGCCAGACATGTCCTCCTTGTCAGCTCAGGGTAGGAGGGAAGGTCAGTTTAGCTGCAGCTGGTGCGGGGTTAAAGAAAAAAAAAAGGTGACCTCAGCCCAGGTAGGCTAGACCTGCCTCCAGCCTCCGCTTTGGCCAAGAGAAGCCTCACGGGGCCCCTCTGAGCTCCCACAGGGAGACCCGGTCATTCACCGTGAAGCGGGCGCCGGGTACCCCGGCCACGCCACCGAGGAGCCAAGCGGGAAGTGACCTTCTCTGCCGGGAGTGAAGTAAGCGGGCGCCGGGTGCCCCGGCCACGCCACCGAGGAGCCAAGCGGGAAGTGACCTTCTCTGCCGGGAGTGAAGCGGGCGCCTGGTGTGGAAGCCCAGGCTGGAGCCAGCCCAGGGGCCCCCAGCCCCACCCCGCACCCAGGGGAGCTCCAGGAGGCAGGGGTGCCCGCCGGCCGGGTCGGAGCCGCCGGGTGACCGCTCTGCCCCCCTCAGGACTCTGCTCCAGCAGCTGCAGAAGCTCCAGACTCTGGTCACCAACAAGATCTCCAGACCTTACAAGATGGCCGCCACCCAGACTGGGACCTGCCTCATGGTAGGTCACTGTCCCTCACCACAGAGCCGCCGGCGGCCCCGTCTTCCCCAGCCGGTTTTCAGGGGAGTGGGGGGGGCGGTGTGCAGAGCTTTCAGGGACCGGCAATATTGTCAGCAGCGTCACCAGGGTCAAATATCCTAATTCCTGGTGCACTGGCTCCAGCAGACCCCAGCTTTTTTCCCCAAGGCCCTTGGACCTTTCCGGACCTTGCCTTTCCTTGCCGGTTTTTGCCCGGTTTTGGTTTTTTGTTGCTTCCCGGGACCCTTGTTGGGGGTTGCCGGGCCAGGGGCCGTGAGGAGGCAGCCCCTGAGGAGCCAGTGGGGGGATGGGCCTGGGGTGACGCGGGGAAGTGTGGACCTGCCTCTCTCTAGCGTGCATGGCGGGGTGCCCAGGCTGTGGCCGCGGCCTCTGCCGGCTTCTTCTCCACGTTCCCTGTAGCTGTACAGCCTGTTGCCTCCGGGTTAATCACTGCCCCCGGGCCCTCTGAGATCCTGGAGCTGACAGGTGGCAAAGCCGGAGTAGAGGCAGGTGTTAGTTTGGGCTCCATGACTCTGAGCTCCCCATGCTGGCCAGTCTTCCTGGGAACCCGGCTGGGGATCTGGTGTGAAGATATGTCCCCGTCTCTTGCCCCAGCCTCAGTCTCCTCCCGCACCTACCCCTTCCTTCCTTTCCTGATTCCTTCCCACCCCAGAGGTGATAGCCACACTGCCAACTCCCTCTCTTCCAGTGCTGCCTGGGGTGGCCTCTCTCCAATGGGCTGAGATGGCCTGACAGCCTTCACCTTCTCCTCCACCACATGGGCTCTGGGAGCAGATTTCCTGAAAAAAAATGATGAGCCTTTGGCCCCCACTGGCTCATGGTGGGGGAGGGGGGAGGGCTTTGGGGGTGGCCAGGGTTGCAGCCCTCCCCTGGCCCGGCTCTGCCCACCACACTCTCTCCACTACCAGGTGGCAGCCTTGTGCTTCGTCCTGGTGCTGGGCTCCCTCGTGCCCTGCCTCCCCGAGTTCTCCTCTGGCTCCCAGACTGTGAAGGAAGACCCGATGGCCGCTGACAGCGTCTACACCGCCAGTCAGAGTGAGTGCCCCAAGCAGGGCTGCCCTCCCCCCACACCAGCCCCGACTTCTGGGCAGAAGACAGACGCAAGTGAGGAGCCAGGTCTGGGGCTGACTCATTCTACCTTCCCATTTTGCAGATGGGGAAACTGAGGCCCTTCCCAAGGGTCTATGATTTGTTTGATGTTATTTATAGAATTAGGACCACAATGCAGAGCCCCTGATTCCCAGCCCACCCAGGAGTGGCTTGGCTGGCGGGGGCTAAGGTTTAGGGAATAACAAGAATGTTCCCACTCTATCCCCCATGTATTATGGTGCCAGCTGGTAGGGGGCATCTGCTAATCCACCATCAGTGTTTTTCAACTGGGATAGCAAGTGAATTTCAGCTCCAGGGCCATTTTCCATAAGATGGTGGTGGCTTCATGAAGCACTGTTAGGGACTCTGAGGCCCCGTTCAGGATCAACAGGAAGGAGTGGTGAGATCCACGGGTAATGTCTGTCCCGGGCAGAAGCGTGGGGCTGAGCTAGTTACCACCCCGTGGGGCTTGTGAGGACTGTTAAGAACATGGAGTTTCCCAGTCCATCATATCTGCCCCTTGCTAAGTGTGTGAGCTGAGGCGTGTGTCTGAAGCATGCTAAATTTTAATCTCTTATCTCGAAAATGGGAGTTACCAGTTCCACGCTTATTGAGCATGTTTGCCGTGAAGACTGAATGACATGGTGCATGAAGGCTCTCGGTACAGCTCCTGGTACACAGCAGGCTCTTACTAGATGAACACCAGTTGCTCCCTTTTTGACGAGCTTGAAAAAGGAGAGAAAGGACACGACACGCAGTGGCCAGGGGAGAACCAGCACAGGGGCAGCAGAGAACAGTGTGGATCTCTGGAGGCAGAGGATACTTCAGACAGACCTCCAGAGGGACGTCCAGACGGCCCCTCCTTGCCTCCTGGAGTGAGCCATCTAGCAGGGCAGGAGGAGGAAAAGGAAACAGATGGGAGGTCGGGGAGAGCAGAGCCAGGAGCTGGGGAGGAGTGAGTTTCTAGAAGGAGGGATGCTGCGGGGAGAGTGAGTTGGGCCTGCAGGGCCTTGAGGGGAGGGAGCGGCCGTGGGGAGGGTTAGGGGAAGAGGAAGCAGAGGCGGGGAGTGAAAACCCCTCCCTGGGCCAGATCAGCCGGAGAAGGAGAGAAGAGGCAGTTGCTGAGGGAGGCGGGTGGCAGAGATGTCAGATCCTGTTTTCTCAAGGCCAGGGGGGTCTATGTGATGGGAGGCACCAGGGACCTCGGAGAGGAAGGGATGGAAATTGGGGGAGTGGGATTAGGGGGAGGGGGAGGGGTGTTGATGGACAAAAGCAGAGTCAGAGGAGCGCAGGAATGAATGAGCCCCTCAGAGTGAATGCGGTGGGTTTCAGGCTCAGGGTCCCCACAGGACTGGGCAAAGGGGAGGAGGTGACCCCTGGAGCAGGCTGGCCTGTGAGCTGGGGCAGGGCACAGATCCAGGGGTCCTGCCCAGGCAGACCGTGAGGTCAGGGCTCTGAGGGTGAGGAGGGTGCTGGCGGATCCTGGAGTCAGGCGGGCCGGGGTCTGCAGCTTAGCCACCGTGCATCATCCTTAGTCTGGGACAACATCCCTGACAACCTGGAGCCTCAGTGACCTGTTCTGTGAAATGGACCTAAAAACATCTCATTCCAAGAGTTTCTGTTAATGATTTGATATAGGTTAAAGAATGCCAACAATATTGGGTCTGCAGCTTAGCCACCGTGCATCATCCTTAGTCTGGGACAACATCCCTGACAACCTGGAGCCTCAGTGACCTGTTCTGTGAAATGGACCTAAAAACATCTCATTCCAAGAGTTTCTGTTAATGATTTGATATAGGTTAAAGGATGCCAACAATATCTGATAGGCATGGTAGATATCCAACAAATGTGTTTTCTCATTTTCTCTTTTTCTCATCTCCCTGAGGGGTAAACTGGGGCCTCAAATAGGGGAAAGGTTTATTTAAGGTCTCACAGGAAGGGAGTGGTTCAGTAGGATGAGCCAGCTCTAAGATGCCCCAGCCCAGTGCCCTCTGCTCAGGGAGCGCTAACTCACTCTGAGTACAGTTTCAGTCACTCTGTTATCTCACTGAAACCTCATATTGACAGGAGGTTGGCCCCTAGTATTCCTATTTTACAGATGAGCAAGCTCAGAAAGGTGAAAGCAAAGGCATTGCTTGCCTGCAGTCACACAGCTGGGAATCATTAGAGCTGGATTCAGATCCAGGCCTGAAAGAGTCCAGGGTCCAGGTCCTTGACCCCTGGGCCCTGAAGGCGGCCTAGACTGGGAGGGAGCCTTGGCACCATGGCTCACCCTGAGCTCCTTCTCCAGTGCCCTCCCGGAGCCTCCTATTCTACGACGAGGGAGCAGGCTCATGGGAGGATGGCCGCAGTGCCCTGCTGCCCGTGGAGCCCCCGGATGGCTGGGAGATCAAGCCCGGGGGGCCGGTGGAGCAGCGGCCCCAGGACCACCTGCAACATGACCACCGGGACAGCACCCACGAGACCAGCAAGTACCTGAGCGAGGCCTGGCCGAAGGACGTCGGCGGGAACAGCACGAGCCCTGACTTCTCCCACCCTAAGGAGTGGTTCCATGAGAGGTGGGTGGGCGGCCCCTTCCCTCCCTGGGGTCCCAGGATGCACCCAGCCTCCGCCCACCGCGGTCCCCGCGTTGTCAGCCACACCCTCCCGCGGCCCCCATCCCTCCCAAGTCCAAACCCAGCTTGCAGAGGGGCAAGAGGGTCCTCCCCGGACAGAGTCACCCCTGACTTCTCTTCTCTCTCCAGGGATCTGGGCCCCAACACCACCGTCAAGCTCTCCTAGGCCATGCCAAGACCCAGGACACAGGGCGCACCTCTGGTACTCAGAAGAGGGGTCGTCCTGCTCACCAACCCGGATCCGGCTCGTACCCCTGCCCCCTGGGGTCCCATCCCAGGAGAAAGGGTTCCACTCCCCCCGCCCACCAGCCCCTCTTTGCCCTAGATCTTGACCGGGGCCCCCCTTCCCCCCCACATTTGGACTGTTCCCTTGGGCCAACCACTGTGTTCTCACCCCCTCCCTCCCACAACCATCCGTCCTTCTTAGATAAACCACTCACTGAGTCACCCACCTCCTTTCTCATAATGACCAAGAGGACCACTGCCTCCCTGCCCCACCCCGACAACATACACACACACACATCAACAGACCGACCCACTAAGCCCCTCCCCTCCCCCCCACTGTACAGAGACCAAGAACAGAAATTGTTTGTAAATAATGAACCTTATTTTTTATTATTGCCGATCCCTAAGATATTGTATTTTACAAGTCTCCCTCCTACCTTCAACCCTCCCTTGTTTTGTATTTTATGAAGTTAGTGCGGGCTTTTCTGCTCCCTGGCCCAGGGGAGAGGGTCCCCCCCAACCCCTCACCTGGCCTCCCCCCTGCCGCTGCCCAAGCCGCTGGGCCTTTTTAATTGCCAAACCGCTTCACCCATCAGCTCAGCACATGCTTTAAGAAGGCAAAAGTAAAAAAAAAAAAAATGATGCAGCATCAATCCCCGACTTTGTGCCTTTCTTCATGGTAGGGGTTGTGGGCGGTGGGACTGGAGATGAAGGAACAAGAAGGGTAAGTTTATCTGGGGGCTTCCCAAGGGGCACTAGTGGTAAAGAACCCGCCTGCCAACGCAGGAGACATAAGAGATGCCGGTTCGATCCCTAGATCGGGAAGATCCCTTGGAGGATGGATGACGACTCACTCCAGTGTTCTTGCCTAGAGAATCCCATGGATAGAGGAGCCTGGTGGGCTACGGTCCATAGGGTCGCAGAGTTGGACAGGCCTGTCGGATAGGAACAGGGATAGCACACACGCAAGTTTATTTTATATCTGACCAGTAGTGATCGAGGGTGAGGGGTTCGAGAAGGCATTTGTATTGGGTCCCCTCTTCCAGCCAGGCACAGAATTCAAATTAGATGGCGAAAGAATTCTGCGGCAATCCCCCCACCCCAAGGCTCCTCCCAGTTCCTACTACTACTGTGTATGGAAGCAGAGCGGCATATAGGCCACCGAGCTGGCCTCCAGGGGTGGGAACTGTGAGCACTGAGTGTCCAGGCTGGCCAGACGCTGTGCCGGGCGCTGTATGCACAGTTCCCAGGCTGGTCCTCCTCGTTCCTGCCCACTTCTTACGTTGCCTCACCTGCATGAGAGGAGCACACTTCAGAGTGAAAAGAGCTGCCTTTGGCTACTGGAACTGCCGCCTGCTAGCCATGTGCAGTGGGCAGAAGTCCAACATGGCCTCCACCCTAGGGTGCACACCCAGGGTCATCCCTTCCCCTAGGGTCTGCAGGGGACCTGTGCGTGTCAGGGATGCCACTCCCATAGTTAAGTGACCTTTCATGGAAAAAGCAAAGGGGTTTTGCAGGTGTAATGGAGGTCCCAAATCAGTTGATACTGAGTTAATTAAATGGGAGGGACTCCCCTGGTGGTCCAGCGACTAAGACTCCATGCCCCCAAAGCAGGGGGCCCTAGTTTCGACCCCTGGTCAGGGAACTAGATCTCGCATGACACAAATAGGATGTGAGGTTGCCAAGCAAATAAATAATAAATAAAATATATATATATATTTCTTAAGGAAGACCACCCTGAGTGGGCCTGACTTAATTGGGTGAAAGCCATTAAAAGAGGGACTGAGCCCTTCCCAAAGAGAAAGAGAGTCTCCTGCTGGCCTTAAAGAAGCAAACGGCCGTGTTCCGTACCACATGGAGGGGGCAGCCTCTAGGCCCTCACGCTCCGGTGGCAAGGCACTGGATTCTGCCAACCACCTGAGCAGCTTAGAAGAGGACCCCCAGCTCCCGATGAGGCCCCCACCCAGCCAACACCTGGGCACCCACCTGGGGAGGGCCTGAGCACAGCACCCAGCCAAGCTGTGCCCTGAGCGGCAGACACGGAGGTCACACCTGTGTTGTTTTAAGCCTCCGTGTCTGTTGTAATTCGTTATGCAGCGTAGGAAACTAAGACGCCACGTCACCTGAACCTGCCTGAGCCTCCACTGCCCACCTTGTGAGAAAAGAACGTAAATAACATTCAGTGCATGAGGTTACTGGGAATTCAGTGAGGTAAATCATACAAGGGGTTTAGAACAGGACCCAGTGCACACTGACTCTGAGAAAGATTGACTGTGCCTTTAAAATACATGTGTGTGTGAGTCGCTTAGTCAGGTCTGACTCTTTGTGACCCCATGGTCTGTCTATGGAGTTCTCCAGGCAAGAATACTGGAGTGGGTTCCCATTCCCTCTCCAGGGGATCTTCCCAACCCAGGGATCAAACCCAGGTCTCCTGCATTGCAGGCAGATTCTTTACCATCTAAGCTATCAGGGAAGCCCCTTTTAAATTATATATATATATATATATATATATATATGTATATGTAAACTAATTTATCTATTTATTTGTTTGGCTGTACTGGGTCTTGTGTGGCATGTGACATGTAGACTCTTAGTTTCAGTATGTGGGATCTAGTTCCCTGACCAGGGATCGAACCCTGACCCCCAGCATTGGAAGCACAGAGTCTTAGCATGAGGAAGTCCCTAGCTGTGCCTTTAGAGATAGTATTCATACAATGAGCTAAGGGCCAAGCTAGGGGTGCTGTTACTGCACAGAAAAGGGTGTCTCCTCCAGACAAGTGGCAAGGGCTTCCCGGAGTAGGTGACATCAAAGACTGTTGGAAGTAGGCAGGAGAGAGAAAGGGGGATCCCAGAAAGAAATGGCACGGGCAAAGCCCTCAAAAGTGGGAGAGAGAGCAGGAAAACTTCAAGAAAACCTCAAATAGTTCAGATTAGCCGGAGGGTAGAGAGCAAGAATGCTGAGAACTGAGGCTGGATAGTGATCAGGGGCCACAGCCAGAGGCCTTGAATGCCTGGATCAGGCCGTCGACCCTTATCACACAAGCAGAATACTTTCATACTCAGAAGCAGGGACTGCGGTGGGATAGCACCTGGGTCAGCTGCCCACCAGAGGGAAAGACGGACAAGACCAGACAGAACTCTAGAGCTTCGGAACTGGCCTTCAAGGCCCATCCTCTCTCCCCGTTCTCCCACGGCCTCATCTAGACCACTTGATGGGGACCTCATTGCCTGCTGCTGCTGCTGCTAAGTCACTTCAGTCGTGTCCGACTCTGTGCGACCCCATAGACGGCAGGCCACCAGGCTCCGCAGTCCCTGGGATTCTCCAGGCAAGAGCACTGGAGTGGGCTGCCATTTTCTTCCCCAGTGCATGAAAGTGAAAAGTGAAAGTGAAGTCGCTCAGTCGTGTCAGACGAGACCCGGTGGACTGCAGCCTACCAGTCTCCTCTGCCCATGGGATTTTCCAGGCAAGAGTACTGGAGTGGGTTGCCATTGCCTTCTCCACTAAACTACGCAGGCCTTTTAAAGCAAAGGCATTAAAGTCTGGGCTCTGGGCCAAAGCTATGATTATTATTAACAAGAACTTTTAGCTCAACCCCCTTTCCTGATTGATTCATCCATTCCCTCTATTAGTCACTCAACAAACTGCTTTCAAAGGTCCCCCAGGATTGTGGAGGCGGCTGGGAAGTGAACCAGTCATCAGGCCCAGTGTGATGCAGGGGTGCTAAGGAAATACAGAAGAGTGTCATGTAGTTCAGATTCCATGGATCAGGGAGGGCAACTTGGAGGAGGTGGCCTTTGACTGAGTTTTTTTTTAATATGTTTGTATGTATGTATTTGGCTGTATCAGGTCTTAGTTGCAGCACTCAGGATCTTTGTTGCAGCATGCGGGATCTTTCGCTGAGCTGCACAGGCTCTCAAGTTGTGGTGCACTGGCTTAGCTGCTCCGCGGCATGTGGGATCTTAGTTCCCTGACCAGGTGTCAAACTCACATCCCTGCATTGCAGGGTGGATTCTTAACAACTGGACCACCAGGAAAGTTCCTTGACTGAGTCTTAAAGGGTGGGTAGGAGTCGGCGAGGTACAGAAGGGCTTAGAGTGTTTGGGGTGCAGAGAATATCATGCAGACATGTAGTCATGAAAAGCAGGGCTAGGACTGGGGTGAGGCAAAGGGGTGGTTAGGGTGCAAAATTTAAGGAGGCGCTTGTACAGCCCTGGGAATGAGCACCTCCTTAAATGTGGCACTCTAAAGTATCACACTTGCCTCAACCTCCTCCTGGCCCTGATGGAAAGTATGGCCCTTGCAGGGATCTAAAGGGAAAAAAAGCATTTTATCCTGAAGGTGATAGAGAGTTACTGAATGTTTTTAAACCAAAGAGTGAGATAATCAGATTTGCCTGTCCTGGGGCTCTACGGGAGATAGAGCGAAGATGAGACAGATTCCAGAGATAATTAGAGGGAATTATCAACAGGCTTTGACATCAAATTGGCTGTGGGGTGCAAGAGTGAGGCTGGAGCCTGGCATGACAGTTAGATGTCTGACTTCGAGGCCGTGGTGGCAGATAAGACCGTTCGCTGAGACAGGGAATGCCGGAGGAGGAGCAGGTTTGGAAAGAAAAAGAACTCACTTTAGTACATCTTGCATTTGAGCTGCCTGTAGAGTGTTCACATTAGCATGCAAGTCTAGGACTTGGCGGAGAGGGATCGCAGGCGGAGATTAGGAAATTGTCAGCATCCAGGTGGTGTGTTAAAATCTTGGATCTGCCGAAAGGGAAAAGAGATTTGGGGCGGAACTACAGGGAAGGTGGACATTAAGAGATGGTAGAAGAAGGGGAGTGAACGAGAAGGCTGTGCAGGAATGGTCAGAGAGGGGAGAAACACTGGGAGAGGTGAGTGTCCTGGAAACTGATGCAGAGAGCTTCCGGGAGCGGAGCTCACAGCTGTCAGATGCCGTCTGAGAGGCTGGGAGAGATCAGAAGACAAGGTGTCCATTTGCTTTGATAATGAGGTCACCAGTGGCTGTGGCTGGAGCTGTGTAGGGGAGAACTGGGCCAGAAGGGAGACCGGGGTGGAAATGAGAACAGGTGGGATGGATGTGATGACTGAAGCAGACGGGGGATGCAGTGAACACACATCACCAAGGGTGGCATCAAGAGGGGGTGTAGGGGCGATCAAGAGCACTTTGGGACTGCTCTTTCAGACCAGAGAGAGATGGCCACTATTAATTCTAGAAAAACATCTGCTTCACTGACTACGCTAAAGCCTTTGACTGTGTGGACCACAGCAAACTGAGGAAATTCCTTAAAGAGACGGGAATACCAGACCACCTTACCTGCCTCCTGAGAAAACTGTATGCAGGTCAAGAAGCAACAACAGTTGGAACCGGACATGGAACCACAGACTGGTTCAAAATTGGGAAAGGAGTATGTCAAGGCTGTGTATTGTCACCCTGCTTATTTAACCTCTATGCCAAGTATATCATGTGAAATGCCAGGCTGGATGAGTCACAAGTTGGAATCAAGACTGTCAGGGAGAAATATCAGCAACCTAGATATGCAGATGATAACACAGATATGCAGATGATAATGCAGAAATCGAAGAGGAACTAAAGAGCCTCTTGATGAGGGTGAAAGAGGACAGTGAAAAAGTTGAC